ATTTTTTCATTTGACTCTGTGATTTTTAGTAATACAAAATCACCTGTTCAGTATTGTCTTGAATGCCAGTTTTTCATTTCACTTGCTTTCTTTTGTGTTTGCTCATGTTGATTTGTGTCATATATTTTTGTCTTCCATTATTTTTAGCTTCTTTCATCTTTTAGCACCTTCCCCAGTAAAAAAGGATAAAATTTAATATGATTCTTTGACTCAAATTTTAAAGTATTTATCATACCATGGGAAAGTTTAAAGCAGTCACAGATGTCAAATTATATTTGTTGTTACAGTTTATTAAACTTACTGCTTTTTATTATTATTTTCATATCCTTGTAATAGATTAGTTCAGACTACTGTCACTTTAGTTTTACTGGTTACTATTATGATTAGCCAAAATCTACTTGCTTTTATTTTTCCTCTAGTTATGCATGACAAGAGTCAAGAATCATAGGCTACATATTCAGAAATTTGGCTCATTTTTACGTCTTTCTTCTTTCTCTCCCCAGTTATTAGTTTTTATTGATGTATCTGAAATTGTTTAAAATTATAATTAAGAAATCATTACTTTCACATGATTTGTAAAACTTACTCATTTTTTTCTTCCTTTTTTTTTTTTTTTTTTTTGGTATTACCAGTGGGTGCAGACACTCACCAAACAGATAGACAGAGAAAAGAGAAAGAGAGAAAAAGAAAACGCCAAAACAGGGCATGTCATGCTGCAATCCCTTTTCCTCCATTCCTCTATCTTGTTGGGATTTGGAACATACACACTTGGCATGTTTTTCAAGCCACCAGGGCCAGGATTTGAACTGTACAATCAGCCAGTGAGATCCAACTCCCTTAACCACTAAGTTACAGGGCTGGCCCTCCTTCCTATTTTCAAATCTCATTGAATGCAAATCTTTTAGTATCTCAAAATTCCCATTGGAGTCACATTTACTCTGAGTCATCTGTGGTTCGGCTGAGCAATTTCTCAAGTTTATCTTTTCTTTCCTCAAATTAGCTGCCTGCTGGTTCAGGGTGACAGTGACCTCCCTCTACTTGCATTTTCCTTTTCATAAATGGCTATTTTCTTTAGCTGCACACCCTTCCCTCATTCCTCACAGCATTCTGCTTCTTACTGATGTCTGCTTCACCAAGTATACTCACCTGTCTAAGAATTTCTGGGCATTTCCTTGTTTTCCGCACAGGACTTGTAGCATTTTCTCCTTCACTACCCTCCTTTTTCATGAGAGAGGAGTTAGAATTCAGTTTTTGACTCTCCTAAGTGCTTCCTTCTGGTACTTAGCCCTTCTCCTCCAGAAAGTCTTCAAAGATGATATCGGTTGTGGTGACATCAGCTCCCTAACTTTAAGTGGTACTGTCCGCTTTCCCTGTAATGATGGATCGTTTCCATGTAGAGTTGCCAAAGAAGCAACAGGAGGTCCAGTTCAATTTGAATTTCAGGAAAAACGATGACCTTTTTTTTTTTTTTTTTTTTAGAATAAAAAAAAGGCCTTTTTTTTTTTTTTTTTTTTTTTTTTTTAGAATAAGTATGTCCTATTTTTTTGTTTGTTTTTGTTTTGCTTCTGTTTTTTTTTTTTTCCTAAATCTATCTATCTTACTTCCAGTGGGATCTGTACTGTATCATCTAATCAGATGTGACTTTTCTGGGCACATTTGTGCATACTTTGAATCTCCCTCCTAATACATCCTCAGTATGGTCAGACATACTAATTTTGTCAAAGTAGTGGGTGTCAAAAGGTACAATGTTGTGGTTTACTTTGCATTTCCCAAATTATTAGATGTTAAGCATCTTTTCAAGTGATTGTCATTGTTCCCTCTTCAGTACATTATTTAACTTTATTCACATAATTTTTGAAAGCTTGTCTTTTTCTTATTGTAAGAGTTCTTTATATATTCTAAGAAACTAATACCTGTACATTGTATTGGGTCACTGAAAAAGCCATGATGTATTTTCCATGTTTTTCTATTGCAAAAATGTGCCATTATTTTTCTGATGACCCGCTATATAATCAGATATTGTCTTTCAGTTAATATTTGTTAGATCTTAGTTCATTCAAATTTTGTTTACTAAAATTATTTAGTTGGAATTCAGACTCAAGTAGAAAACTTGAAAACAATAGACTTATCTACCTTAGATAGATTTATTTCATTTTATAAAGAGAAAAATGAGAGATTAAAATATATATCTAAGTTTACCGTACTTATAAATGGCTCAAAGAAAATGATAAATTGGGTCTTATGATTTCTGGCCTACTGATTTGGATTCATACCAACATATTCTTCACTGAGCTTTGGTTACAGTTGTATTTTTTAAGGGGGGAAAAAGACACACCCACACTTAATTCCTTGTGTCTTGAATTATGTATATATTGATTTCATTTTTTGAATCAAAGTTACACTTAGGTGGAAAAGTATCTTTGGGGAATTATCCTTTCTTCCTCTGCTCTCTTCTGCTAGGTTTCATTTGATAGCCATGAACTGTGGATAAAGAATAAATATGGCTCTCCTGTACCCTAGGACCGTCCTCTGCCTTATTTATGTCTGACCTGGCCCAGCACTGCTGACCTTGGAAAGTTTAATTGAGGCTGGAATTATATGGCACAGCTTGAGGCCACCTGGATTTAGAGGGTGCGACATACACAAAGACACACACGCACGTTGACCATGCAATGGCCTGATGAGCTGAGCATTCATGTGTGTGTGCGTGTGTGTGCACGCGTGTGTGTCCTTATCTCTGCTGAAACGACAACCGTAAAAACAGCGAATTGTAATTTTTCCTGGGAAGACTTCCTATAAACAAAATAAATATACCTACATTCCTCTCTAATTAAAACGTTGATTTTACTTTTTAAATAAGTGCAGAATTACTCAAATATGGAAGCTATTAAGATGAAAAAAACAACAAAGCAACAGTTAAGTGTGACTAATTCAAGACATAAGTACTCTGTGAAATATTTAACAATTTTGTAATAGTTCAAGTGCTTAATAAATGCTGACCTTTCTACTATGTCATTAAGATGATTTAATAACATAAAGCAAACAAAAGTTTTGTTAATTGATTTGTTTTAGATAATCAATTAATTGTTTTAAAGCTGAAATAAATGGTCAATTACCCCCAAAAATTGCCTATTATATTTAATAAGATTATGACCAAGACTTCAGATATGATTTGTACATGAAACCAAAGATGCTGTGATTGAGAAGAAAAAAATTAAATTAATTTCCTTGTTTATTAACTAATTAGATATAAAATCAGTTGCAGTCCTGCCCATATAGTCCCCAATTATCTTTTTGCTACATAGTAGATTTTGAATTCTTTTAGTTTGAGTGTCATTGTAGATAAATTTGAAAATTAAAGCAGGCAATGTTTAGATATGCAAATGTTATCTAATTAAGCAAATAATTTTGTCATTATTTTCAGAAATATTACACATCCTGAGTAATTACTTAATAGCATGGGAAAGACCAAAATATTTGACAAAATACTTCCATTTTGAAGATATATAAAACTCATTCTTTTGTTTCATTCAGCACAACTAAAATGAATCCCAAATGTGCTCTTTAAATAACCGCAGAATAAGATTAAATGGACCAACACATGATACTTATTTATATGATATATAGATTATATATGTGTGTATATATATATGTACTATATTTATATTATATTTATAAATATAAATATATGTGTATATGCACATATATGTGTGTATATATGTACACACACACACGCACACACACACACATATATATATATGTATACACCTGTAGACGTCTTGTCTGTCTTTTTTTTTAATTTTGCCAAAGGGGACACGTGTGCTTGTCAGAGAGAGAATTAGAGAGAGGGAGAGAGAGAAAGACAGAGAAAGCATCCCCCATAGAGAATGGTCATGCTGCAATCTCTTTTCCTCAAGCCACGGGGTCAGGACTCAAAGTGCTCAATTGGCCATATGGAATCCAGTCACCTTAAGCACCATGTCACCAGCTGGCCTAGACAATTTGCCTTTCAATAACTAGAAATTTAGGGAAAATTTTGCCTCTCTCTCTCTCTCTTTTTTTTTTTTTCACAGAGAATCTTACAGAGATGAACGATACTCAGAGTTAGTGAAACATGAAGGAAAGCTCAAGTTTGCCCACAGGGCATTCTGGAATTCTTGAGTCACACACATAGAAGCTGGACAGATGATTGCACCCATATGCACCCATATAAACTCACCCACAATGAGGGTTAGAGCTGTGAATGAAACTCAAGATGCCATCAAGTTACAGCATGGCTTCACTAATCAATATCGTAAATAAAACTATTTTAAAATTAATTAATTGTAATTTTAAAATTAATTTAAATTTTAAAAGTAATTACTTGTATTTTAAAATTTTTAAATTAATTAAGTGTACATTTAATTGGAAATTAATTAATCATAATTTTAAAATTAATTTTAAAATTAATTCTAAAATTAATTCTCATAGTGACAGCATGCTCTTTCACTGGAAAATTGTTTCTCATATAATGTAAAGTTCTGAGTATATAAAACATACAAGAATTTTTTAAAGAATTATTTATTTAATTTTATTCATGTCATTATTATTTCTTAATTTACCAGAGAAAGTGGGAAAGTGGGAAAGCAAGCCGCCAGGTCCAGGACTCAAACCATGGTCAACCATGTAGGAGTCCAGCACCTCAACCACCATGCCATCTGCCAGGCCCCGTACATTTGATTTAAAAAAATTTAACCTCAATGATCAAATTAAGAAGTAAAGAAAGAAAAAGGATTTCTATCCACATTTGGCCAACAGTCCCAGGTTTTATAGATTTTGTTTTGTTGGGCAGCCCTGACAAATTAGATGATGCTAATAATTGTATTTCAATCTAGAAATCTGAATTGACAAATAGAAATAATAAATCAATGATAAGTATGCTAATTAGCACTTCCAGAACACTATGCACCAGACACTATCCTCAACACCTTACACATAGTCATTCATCTAATTGTACTTACTCATTAATCAAGTATTTCTGCGTGACATAAGAAGGAACTTTATGTGTCTCTCCAGTGATAATGCTGAAGCAGATTTTTCACATCAATAGTAGAAAACATGGCCAGCGAGGTGTCCAGCCTTTGTCCAATTCACATTCATTTCTTATTCTGGGTCACAGCACAGAAGCCACAAAGATTTATGAGAACCCTGTTTATAAATGAGTGGAAATGTTCTGTTGATATCAAATCTTAAATTGTTTTCAATAATAGAGCTAGATAGTTTTTCAAAGAGCAAAATAAACAAACAAAAAAAAACTTCTAAAAATGACCAGAGTTAGATTTTTCTAGGTGAAACAATTCTCTAAACATCGTAATTGTTAATTTGGAGAGATTCAATTCTCATTTCCAGTTTCCAAATAAGCCTGAATTGCCCAATACCTTCTGAACACTACCTTCTTCCACGGTTTAGATAAATCTGAGATTTGGTAACCGAAAATAGGAAGATATGTAACCCTCAAACTACTTTAAAAAAAAAAAAAAACAGGTGTTGGAGTATTACAATATGTAACCCTCAAACTACTTTAAAAAAAAATAAACAGGTGTTGGATTATGACCTTAAAAGTGTCATAATAATTATTCATAGCACCTAATCCTGATGGGCTCTGGCTTTCCTTGTTGATGGTTATATTAGTTCATGATTTGATAGCCAGAATTAGTGAGATGTGGCCTAAGAACAAGCTATGGCCAAGAAGAATCTGTTGTCACGTTCAATAGAAATTATTCCTGAAAGTTGATTATGCTGCTGTTACCCCCTCCCACCCTAAGCTGGCAGGAATCCTAGTATAAAGAATTATATAAGACTTTCTCTGTTCTTTTTCAGTCTATTGAGATACATAAATATGGTGATCTTAAATTATCCGTAAAAGCGCTTTAAAATATCAATTCAACTAGATAAAAGGTGCGTATACACATATCACATAAGAACAAAGCTAGAATAAAATGAAATAGCTTGAATACCTACTATCCAAATAGAGTGATCTTTTCCTTCCATGGGCCATCCCAAGACAGACATAAACTAGTGTGAGGGATGCTGAGGTTGACAGATGTGCAATTTATGCAGGGAGACATTTTATGACTCAGAGCTATTGCCCTCCAGAGATGGAGCAGACACCATGGCCCACTTCACTCGAGGCCACAGAGCACACTCAAGTTGCAAGACCCAGAGGTGCCGTCATCCTAGGGAACCACTAGACTCCCTTTGTGTCCAGATCTCCATCTCTCTCCCTTCCCTGAGGCACGGAGATGGTCTACATGAATCTATGCAAATTCACTGGGGCGGGGAGTGGGGGAGTCACCTTTTTAAGACCTGTCTGATTTAGGTAGATTTAGATTCCACAGCAGAACATGAAATATCAGTACGACCCATTACTCACAGTACCTTGGGATCATTGGAGAATCAGATACACTTACAACAATAATAGAAGGAGGAGAGCTGAAAACACCAGGACATTTTCCTAAAGAACCTCATAAGCAAAGTTCTTGCTCTGACTATTATTATGATCATTATTATTCTTATTAATCTGCATCTTGATTCGCCGTCATTCCTATTGTGTCACTTGTGATTTTTACCACAAGGCATCCACGCACGTTCATGAGGTCACTTCCTTCAGTGTGTAAATGAAGGGATTTATTCAAATGATGAGTTTTACCAAATGATTCAGATGCGATCAATCTGAAGCTATCATATCATTAATGTGACGTTTGCAACTGTGACTAGAGTCCCTGCATTGACGAAGACTATACATTTATAGCGAGCAATATAGGGACAAAAGTGCTGGGATCGGGAAAACATTTTTGGATTTCTTATTTATTACATTTTTAATAGAAACTCAGAGAAAGCCTTATCTGCTGTCATTTGGTTTAAATTCCACAGTACTTTTTGTATTTGACCAAATTCCCTTATCTCTTATTTCCTTGTATTCTGCTGTGCCAGCCTCCTAGCAGTTGATATACTTATCTGTGGTTTTATAATAAAGTTTTAGCTTCTACTGAGGGAGAAGAGAAAAAATAGAAAGAAAAGGAAAAGCTGTTCCTTAGATAGTAAATATACCAGCTGCCTATGTCCATTATACGACTTTGAAATAGCTGCCCGTTCTCGGCATATATGGGAAGCTTCGGAGGTTAGTTTCACGCACCTGACTTTGAGGTTCACATCGCACCTAGTGTCATAGCCTCTGATTTCTTTCTAAAACGAGAGACAGATATTATCTATGAAATGTAACAAAGGGAAGAAAAAAAATAATGTAGACACCTCCCTCTCCCCAACACACATACACACACACACACATACACACACACACACACACACACATTTACACATATACAGTAAAAAAGAAATAAAAAGAGGATGGAAGTCATGTACTCCCAAGATACCTTTCTGGGGTTTCTTTGCTTGTTTTTGTTTCATTTTTTTTTTCTTCAGTCAAAAGCGAGCTATTATCTCTGTTTCAAAATTGAAGAAAAATATAGACAGTTTTTATAGTAAAAAAGAAATAAAAAGAGGATGGAAGTCATGTACTCCCAAGATACCTTTCTGGGGTTTCTTTGCTTGTTTTTGTTTCATTTTTTTTTTCTTTAGTCAAAAGCGAGCTATTATCTGTTTCAAAATTGAAGAAAAACATAGTTTTTATCATGTCTTCCCAGTTTGATATGAAATATTTTGGAAATTAAGAAAAATCAAAATCAAGTTACATCCATGTGGGAAGAAGCTAGTTACAATCCAGATGATCTAAAGTCATGATCAAGGGTCAATTCTACAAGTCTCATGGTCCTTATGTGAGGAGGTGACGTGGAAACTCCCTAACCAATGAATGTACTAAGTACTTGTGGACAGTAGCGTTCTTTCAATGGGTTGTAGAAAGGCAAGTTTTTCATACTGGTTAGTGATCTAGGGAAATCTGATCCAATAAGCAATCCCAAAGCAAAGCATTTATTCTATGCCAGACCCTCTCCCTGGTACTGGCTCTTGTAGAGATGAAAAGATTAACACTAACCTATAATTTAGAATTACATCACCATATGCCAAATGTAAAACTTAGTTATCAAGTAGACTCTTTGGCCTGGTGATTAAGACAGCCATAACCCATGCAGCTGACTGTGTGATTCATTTCCTGGACCCTGCAGCTTGGGGTGGGTTCTCTCTCTCTCATTCTCTGTCTCTCTCCAGTGAGTACATGCACATACACACAAACACACACTCATATACAATTTACTTATCTGATTTTTGAGTCTTTCTTATCTCATCTGTAAAATGGAAAACTTGCTCCTGTTCTGCCTGAGGAAGGAGACTGATCACAGGCTATTTTGGAATTCCTGATGAATGGGTCACTTTATGACTTAGGCTGTTTTACTGGTTCTATGGACCCAAATAATATTCTATGAGAACACAGGGCCCAACTGAGCCTGTTTGAGAAGTCAGCTCCGCTTTACAGGAAGCAGAGTTGGACTTCCACGATTGTGCGAAATTAGAGGTACTCAAAAGAGTAATTTTAGGTCCCCTCTGAATCATCCCTTCTGGGTCTACTTTGCCCAATTTGATGAAGGTGCAGACACCCGGTAGAAAAGGTACACCTTTGTTTTCTCTTAGTCAGGAACCATTTGGTTCTTCCCCAAAGCTGGGATCTTAGAAACTGACAAGCTGCCACTTTTCCCGGGCAGTAAATTCACCAGAACTTCTTTGTGAACGTTTATAAGAAAAATGGAGCATCTCCTTCTCTTCCCTTGTCTTCCACCAACAGATGTTTCGCCTCTGTGACAGAGTACAATAAACCTGTGAAATAATGAAGGCGGAATTCACACTGAAACACCGGTGACTTTTGAAGGGAATAAACCGATTGGATTATTTCCAAGATATTCTGCTGTGACAGAATGTGACAATGATACCTTTTCATTTCCTATCCGGCCTCCAGGAGATGGAAGATTTAGTATCCTTCTACACACTTTAAGTCTGAGAAACTTCTCCTTATGGCTTCTTATGACTACTGGAGGCTGGAAAAGAAATCAAGTTGCTTTAGGTTTGCAGGAAGGATTCGTATTAAGTTGCTTCAATTTGCAGTCAAGATGCTAGTGGCACTTTGCAAATATTGTCACCATTGACCTGCAAAGGTTGTACATTTAAACCTCTGAGCACTGCTTTCATGTCAGCAAATGAGCTGTTTTCAATCCCTGTTCCACATTTTTTGTGATTTTGCCAGGCTCCAAGCCGAGACTGTCAACATTACTATAACTTGTGATCTTGCACAGCCATCAGTTTAAAACAATTTCCATGCACATTTATTCAGGCCGAGACACAAGCAGGGGGTCCCAAGGTGGCAGGTTCTTGCATTACTCTAATCCAGTTACCACTGAGTTAAAATGCTTTCATTACAGTTTCAAACTCCTGGGAGAAAGTAGGTATGACATGTTGGGGTCTGCTTATTATGTTTTAAACCAAGACCGACTCCAGGAACTAGTAGCAAGATGGAACAAGTCCACTTTCACATACTTCCCTCCTTCTGTCCTTCCCAGTTGATATTTTTTGTTCTTCATTTGAACTCTCTTCAAGGTCTCTTAACCCACCTTGTTGGAGATTTAGAGAGCAATACAAGCAATAATTATAAAATAAATGACTTATTTATGCAAAGTCCTTGGGAATACCTATATGTCTCAGGCATGCATTAACCTGCCCCCCCAACCTGTACTCAACTAAGATATGTTGAAACTGTCTAAACCTGTTCACATAAGCATTGGTGAATTATTAAAAATTAACTATTTCCTTAACTACTTCCTTAATCCTTGCAGATGAGCACTCCAAATCAAATATTTAAGGTGTCATTTGATATAAAGCAACTTATTGATTCAATGAATATTTATGAAACCGTTACTTGAATGCAGGTACTATGCTAAGTGGAGTGTCTAAAGGGAATTGTTACCATAATACCAGCCTTTTTTGAGTTTACAGTCTTAGTGGGAAAGCTCAACAAGTCAGCATGTAATTTTAATAATTTAAGATACCTACATGTTATCAGAGGAGTAGCAGAGAAGGGTGGAAAGCAAGTCTGAGGATCGCTGGCAGACATTAAAGGACAGGATACCTGTGCTTCAGCTGAAGGTATTATAGAGGAAGAGCAGATCTTTGTGCAGCTTGGTATGCTATGCATACTGGCAAAAGGCTAGAAGTATTTTGAAAGGTATTAGAGAAAGGAAGAGTTGCTGTATTTCTTCTTCTCCCCCTCTCCTCCTCCTCCTCCTCCTTCTTTTCCTTTGTCATCATTGTCTTTTTTTAATTTTTTGTCGTAGGGTATGCATGCTCACCAGAGAGACAGACAGAGAGAGAGAGACAGTGAGAGGCAAAGGGGATGTCCATGCCACAATCCCTTCTCCTTTCCTGGAATTTTTGGAAACACATGTACACGTGCCTGGCATGATTTTCAAGCTGTCAGGTCTGGGACTTGAACTGTGGTTGAATTATGTGGGAGTCCAGCATCTTAACCACCACACTACCTACTGGCTGATCTCAGCATAGGTGCATGCAGTCTCATTTATACTGAATCTCATTGCTGAGGAGAGATCAAATTTCTGGGAAAGGGTTGGCCTTGTAGCCTAGTAGTTAAAGATATCAAATCCCCCATGACTGACTAAGGTTCAGATCCCAGCCCTGGTGGCATGAAAGATACTTTGGTGTTTGTGTCTGCACGATCCAAATCCTGACAGGATGGAGAAATGGAGAAGAAGGGATTGTGGCATGACCCTACCCCATTGGGAAGTACTTTCTCTCTCTTTCCATCTCTCTCTCTCTCTCTCTTTCTCTCTCTCTCGCAAGGGCATGCACCCTCTGGCAATTAAAATCAATCAATCAATCAATCTTACATAAAAGAATTTCTGGATTAAGTTTACACCACTCAAGTGTCCACACTGTACTTTTGTTTCAGTCACAGATATATATCTCAGAGCGACTGCCCCATTCCTTGCCATCTCAAATACTTCTAATAATTGCCTGTGCTTGACGTCTAGTGAGAGAAATGAGAAATGTGGGGCCAGCAGGTGGTATGGTTGTCCCGGAGGAGAGTATTTCAGTCAGACGCAACAGCAAGTGCAAAGGCCCTGGGGCAGGAACCTGTCACAACTTGGAGGAGAAGGAAAGAGAGGGCTCGGCTGAGGCCACATGGACTAAGCAGGGGAGGAAAATGTGACATCAGAGAAGTGGGTGTAGAAAGGGGTGACAGGTGCACAAAACCACCAAGAAGACTTGGTCTTTTACCAGGAACTGAATGGGAAGTCACTGGGATTAGAAACAGGGAGTGACTTGATCTGACTTGCTGTTTCAAAAGAACATTCTGACAGTTGTCTTGAGAATTGCCTGTCGAGGTGCCAGGAACATAGCAGTGGGAAAGAGAGGAGCTATTGCATCCATTAGGCAAGAGTGGTACCAGTGATGAAAAGTAGTGAGATTCTGGACAGATTTTTGAAGATGTCAGTGACATAATTTGCTCATACACTTGATTTTTTATGTCTACACAAGAAAAGATACAAAGAAACCACTGGGATTCTTACCTGGGCATCTAGCCAAAAGACTTTGCTTTTCTTGGGGGAGAGAGGGTGGGAATGATGCTTAAGAAACCAAACCAAACGAAACTTTCATTTTTTCTTTCTTCTTGGGAAGTGGAACTGTAAACTCGGTACCTCGTTGAAGCAAAGTGGACTTCAGAGTTGCTTATCTCTGTTCCAGTTTCTTCTCTATAAAGGGGTGATACCCATATGCTTATCTGCTAGAGCAGTTGAGCATGTGAATTGAGAAAGTGTATAAAATGATCATCACAGTGAATGGCATAGAATAACCAGTAAGCATCTATCAGAAAGACACACTGGGGAACCAGCAGTTAGCGTAATGGCTGTGTCGCTGGACTCCCACGTAGTTGACCGCGGTTCGCATCCTGGACCTGGTGGCTTAAAACTCACGCTGGGCACGTGTGCGTACATGCCCAAGATCCCGAGAGGAGAATGGAGGAGAAGGGATTATGGTGTGACCATCCCCCCTGGGGTGATTTCTCACTTTCTGTCTCTACATCTCTCTCTGTCTGTCTGGCGAGCGCACGTGCCCTATACTGAAAATCTCTCCAAAAAAAAAAAAAAAAGACACATTGATTTGATGTGAGACTAAAGAAGACTTATTGTTTCAGTGGTCATGGAATTTCCATTCAGCTTTTTGC